TAGCCAATATTAATGCTTGTCATTTTTTTTGTCCTCTTGATTTTACAAGAATTGTTCATTCATATTCATATATAGTAAGTCGTTTCTGAATTAATTTGACATGTATATAGGAAAGTCTGAGGAAGTGTGGGAACAGACGTGTGGTCTTTGATAACAAAACAAGAGATGAATCCAAGAAATCTGAACAGTTGAAGCAATTTCTTTACCTAGTAGATGCGGTTGTATATAAAAATGGTGGAAAACCGTATACAAAGACGGACCTGGAAATTTCTCGACTCAGTGCACAAATTGCGGCAATATTTGCTGAGATGAAATTAAAATATGAAAGAAGTTAAGATAGTATTTAGAGCTGTCTTCTACTTGAAAACTTATAACCCCAATATTTGGTTACATTTACTTACGTATTCTTTACAGCCCTACAGCTACAATATAATTCCTGTATAATTCATTTCTTCTGGATACTTTTTTTAGGGGAGTGCTTATATTTGTGCTAATGAATACGTGTGGTTATAATAATTGATTAATAAACCATAGTTATTTGGACTTGTACCATTTTCTCTTGTTCAATTATGCCCATATTCTTCTTACAGATGGAGAGTGAGTAGAGAGATCTAACTGCAAAATTTACCTCAAAATGACCCTTTTAATGAGAGTATTTGAGAGTGTCTATGAAGAATGAAAAATAAAGTTGGAATTTAGTAATTCAAAATTATAAAACAGTACATAAATTTCGAACAACGAAAGGAATACCTACATAATGCAATTTCAGTTGGTAGTTAACTCATTTCTGTTGATAATGCAATTTCAGTTGATAATGCAATTTTAGTATTGATCCCATTTGTTCTGCTGAGCTGAGCTGAGTTGCTCAATACCCATTTCGCTAGTTCAGTTCTGTAGACGTTTGGTGACCCTCAAGGTATTTGCTAATTATTTTAACACGAGGTTTTTTTCAGCAATTCAAGATTACACATGGGTGGTTTTTGCTAAAAAAAACCCCTTACTAATTAATTTAATTAACACATTTGCATTTTTAAATGTGAGAAAAAAAATATTTTACATAAATATATGTAGTTCGACTTGATATTGTATATTGTATGTCTAGGATACAACAAAAATGAGACAAATGACCCCAATTTATTGTCCGCTTAAACCAATGAATCGTGTTTTCTTATCCCATTATGAAATAATATATTCATAATCAATGGACATCTAAAAGTGGTACCGTTGATTACAATAAAAAAAGATAGTTTACCGGGAAAAATAAAGAAAAAGTAAAGACAACAAGAATAATGAAAAAGGAGATAATTGAAAGTGAAGAAAAATTCGAGAAAGAAATTCCGAAATGAAAAGGAAGAGAGAGAGAGAGAATCATATTCATTTCTTGTGCCGAACTAATAATATAGGAAGTCTAACCATCAAGTCTAACCATCTCTTATGATATTCATTTTTCTCCTTCCACGTTTGTTGTTTGTATTTTGAAAAAAAAAAAAACTGCAAAAACTAGCAACTCAACAATTAACAAAATTATATTATTAAAGCTAACTTAAGTATTTCATTAAGTTATCATTCGTACAATCAATAATACATAACTTTTAGACCATTTCATTGAGGCTTAATCTCATTTTACACCTTTGAAATTTTTTAATAGCACATTGCACCCTCGAAATACAATAAATCATTCACAATGCACCATTGAATTGAATATTTAAAACTTATTGAGGGTAATTTCAATTTCGATTAGTTTTTTTTTTTCAGAGTGCAAAGTAATAAATTGAATTGTAATTTTAATCTACAACCAACATGAATTTGAGCGTACACAATGCAAATAAAAATAAATTCATAACTAATAATTACTGGAGAAACTATAATTTCTTACCTAAAAAAATTATCACTAAATTATTCGATTGATGGATATTTTATTGTAATATGTGAAAATATTTGGTAGAAACTTTTGGAACAAAATATAATTTTCAAATAACTTCATAACAAAATACCTGAACGATTTTTCTTCTTTTTGTTTAAATATATTTTTGTGCAAAAAAATTAAATATATTTATGATGTGCATTTTTATTTTTGCACTTGGTAGTTTCAAAAGGATTGATGAATATAAAAAAAATATTCATTTGGCATCCTAAAAAAATACCACGAAATATATTAAATTAGCTTCATTAGCTTTAAAAATCAACTTGGGGTTCACTATGCACGATTTATTGTGTTTCGAAGGTGCAAAATGCTATTCATTTTTTTTAAGGGTGCAAAGTGGAAATAAGCCTTTCATTTATTTAGTGACATACTTTTTTACATTCTAAGTATAAGTACTGTTTCTATTTAGTTTCTAACGCAATTCTTAAAATACTTTGAAAATAAACTTTGTTATAATAACATTTTATATAAGAACAAATTCTTTATAGGAATGAATATCTTAGTATTTCATCTATTAAGTAAAATCATAAATCACGTGTGTAGCACGTGGTACTTACTAGTCTATCCTATCTATAAAAGTATGAATCATATGTGGTTTCTTCCATTTTATTTTTATGCATGGACAAAAATATCCCTCTAAATAGGTAAGAGTTGAAGGTCAGAAAAGTAATATACATTAGAGTAATTAAGTAGATTGCTAAGACATATTATATTGATTTAAAAAAAAAAGTTTCGGCCTATGCAACAATGTGGGGGTAAAGGTGTATAGTTTGTGTCATAAAAGATGCATTAAATTATTCATTAGTATGCCATAATGCAAGTTAGAGTAGAGTTTCTTTTAAGATACATAAAAAAAAAACTCGGACATTGACCTCTTGTATAACTCAAATAGTATATGGAAGACCGCCCATCTAAAACGAACCTGGGTTTCACATGAATAAACAGCCTATTTAGGTAATAGTGCAATGCTTTACTTTGTTGACTTCACTCTAAAGGTCACTTACCCTTATGTGCAATCCTTGATCGTTGACAAAGTTGCAACTAATTTGGCAGGTTTTGATTCATGGTTTCAACATGCATTATTACCTCCAGAAAGAATAAACTTGAGCAGAAGATGCAATTTCGAATCTTCACAAGAAAAGAGTAGATTGATTATATAACCCTTCAACAGTTTCATACCCACTAAAAAACCGATGATCGGGCTTGCCGGACATAATTTGGATTATGAGTGCACAGGAAATACTATGGTGTGACCCTCAGTTCCTCTTTAAATCAGTTATGTCGTAAGCGAGAGATATATAATCAATCTACTCTACGTGCTTATCTTATTTTACCACTCCACTTCACTTTGTAATTAGTAAAAGTGCAAATTAATTAGTTTCTTCAATTTTTTTGGCATGGAAAAAAGTGCAAATTAATTAATTAGTACATCCACATGAATGTGGATCAATAACCAGGGCGGAACAAGGATCAAAATGTGGGGGCTAATTAAAATTTCAGGTTCGGGGTAGCGCCCGAAAAAAATATCAATATATAAATAATTTTGTACTCCTTACATATTCAT